TGTAACACACAAAAACAAAGCTTTCAACGGCACTTATATTTTACAAAACTAAAGAAAATATATTTTCTTACATACCCTTTTGAATACATCGTGATTCACACAGGAATCACACAGGAATCATGCAGGAAACCGTCCATTTCCAACCAGTGCCCACTGTAAAGTCTTTAATATAAACCTTTTCAACAAGAACACAACAAATCAGTCGTTGGATGTAGGAGTTTGCCCTGAAATCGAAGGATTGACGGTTGAAGCCCCGGCTCCGACTTTCATTGTCGTTGTGTCCTTGGGCAAGACACTTCACCTGCATTGTCTACTGATGGTGGTCAGAGGGCCCGGTGGCGCCAGTGTACGGCAGCCCCGCTTCTGTCAGTGAGCCCCAGCTTCGGCTACAATGTAGCTTGCCACCATCAGTGTGTTAGTGTGTGCGTGAATGGGTGAATGAATGTAGTGTAAAGCGCTTTGGTCAAGTCTCTTGACTTGAAAAAGGCGCTATATAAGTACATGCCATTTACCATTTATAAGGGCAACAAGAAGTGTCTGAATCACATACATCAGCCCAACAGAAAGAAAGAGGAGGGAGCTCAGGACCTGAGCTGCCAATCTACAGCTAAAAATTATTTAAAGTGGGGTTTTTTTTTAAAGCAGATTTGCTTGCTTTTTTGTCTTTTTTTATGGCATTCTGTTTATTATTTTAGCTTTAAAAAATTATCAAAATAAAAATCAAAACATGTTCAATGTGCTCAAACTTATAAGTTCAGAGAGGGATGAACTTATCATTTCCCTGACTTTACAGATTAAGTTTGTCTTTAATCTTCTTCTAATTCTAAATAGACAGGATGTGTTCAGTGACTATCAATCAATGAGGCAAAAAGCAGTATGGCAACTGCCAGTGTAACTTAAGCAGATGGAAATGTGAAATGCTTGTTGTAACTGATGTGCAATCTGTCATAACTGACCTGATTTGTTTAATTTAGTAAGAGGCTGGACCAAGAATAAGGAGAGGGAAAATTAATATAGAAGCTTTATTGTGAATTAATACTTTTTTTTTTTTACTTTCAACATATATCTGTATTGTGTGCAGCACATGGTGTAGAGGTAGAGCCAGTGACCATATACAGAGGATGTCCTTTAAAAGCAGTGATTCGAAGTTTGCACAGCTACAGCAAAATAAAGACTACTAATGCCTAAAAAAGTGAAAAAATGAAATATATATATTTACCAAGTGGAAGAATAACTTGTACTGAACTAGATATTTTTTAGTTCAAAAGACTTTCAGATTCAAAATATTTGCCAACTTCCCAGATTACAGCAAATCAGGGCAGCATAACTCCCATTTTAGATGATATAGAAACACGGCATGCTGTACAATTCCACGTATGTGTGGAGGAAGGAAATGTGCCAGTTTAATGGATCCTAGAAGGTAATGCATCATTGCCTGAACACCAATTCAATCAAAGCGTTCCAGTATTAGATTTAATCTGCACTACTGGGACTATAGAACTCTCAAGAAAACTAGCAGATATACAGAATATTAAGACAAAAACAGACCTTCAGAGGAGAGCAGCCTGAAAGGAAATGAAAGCAAGGCTAGCAGTCAATCCCAATTTAAGGTTTGTATAAAAGAGCAGACCTGACATCCATCCCTTCAAATGTTTGATTTATGTTACTCTGTTTAACGTGAAACAGCTTAAATCAATAGCTGGTCACTGAGAGGCTGCGTAATATAATTAGTTTTACATTTTACTGGTATTGAGTCATGTCCCAGGCATCATAGGTCTTAAGTAGCTCGACCATCCTTCTCTGTCAGACCAGCATGACAAAAGAGGTCCTTCACACACAGTCACATGTTGTACATTCTACAAACATCTCCAGTAAAGAATAAAGATAAAACTATTTTGGCACATTAAAAGTTAGGAACCAGTATTTCAATATTAAATCTCTTTTTTTCTCCTAAATGTTTTGTCTATTTTATGTTGCTGGTTTCTAGCTTTACAAACGAAACACAAAAAAAGACAGAATCGATCTTTAGATTCATTTTTATTTGTTTGAAAATTAAGAAACTATTCTTTTATTTACCTTAGAAGAGGCTGGAAGATCACGGTGATGTTCCTCGCTCCTGGCTTGCACACAAACTTCATTTCTCCACCTTCAATCAGGTTGTCATCAGCACCACCTAAAACACAGGCAGGGAGTGGGTTTCTATTGGTAAGAAGCCACTTTTATTGTCTTTGTGTTCAACCCAAAAACATAAATCATAAAACTGACTCTTCTCTGGCATTGAGAAAGATTTAGTTATATATTTCCAAAAACAGAATATAAGGAGCTTTATTTTGTGATGGAGGAGGTGGCAATTTAGCACAAATCTTTGTTTACCTTCATTATGCAAAAGTTTGACGACAAAAAACCTTCTGAAATCATTAAATATTGTTATGAAGTAAACCGATAATTCAGATTCATTTAATTTCTAAATGATCATTACATTTTAATAACATTTTCCTTATCTTGATTTATTAATAATAATCTTCTGTTAGTGGACCTCTGCACCATTATTAAAAAATATTGGTTGATAGTAAGTATAGAGCAAATAGGGTTTATTGGATTTTATCTTAGATTCCAATATATTATAACCACCCTAAAAGCAATAAAATACAAAATTCATTCTACTAATATAGAGTAAAGTCTTCCTCTGTTGTCATAGCTAACTGTGATGGGCAGTGGGTTTTTAGCCTCAAACCACTGGCAATAATCAATACTTTTAATCAAACCTAGATTAGTTTAAAAGAAGAAAAAAAAGAGGGTCCGAAGATTTAATCATTGCAGGGGTACAGTACACCCATAGCAGACACATCACTTAATCAACATGGCTCTCCATCACAAATCTAATTGCATCTAACATGCTCACTCCCCTTCACGCCCCTGCGTCAGTGTGTGGGTGAACCCTCCAGCCAACGGGGTTAATCAGAAAATCATTGCCAAGTAACATCCTAGGGGTGGGTGAGTCTGCTGCAGAAAGGGAAAAGGTGAGATCACAGGGGAGACAAAGGACACCAAAGCTCATTACCTTCACTCATCCAGAAGTAATCAATAGATTTGACAGAGAAAGAAATTGCCACTTGTTGTCGATATGGCCAAACACAGAGTGAAAGGAGCTATCTGTGTGCATGTGGGCCCGCACAAATGTTTTCAAAGAATATCACGCTTGAGCTCATGCACATGTGTTTACATATAAGTCCATCAAAGAGATGAACGACAGCTAAAGAGCAAGCAATTATGATATATTTACTATTAACAGTTACAATACATTCACATTGCTCAATAAGATTGCATAGGAGAAAATTGAACAAAAGGCAAAATGCTGATGTATTGATGGTTGAATTATTAAATATGCATTCTGTACTTTTCAATGGTCTGTGAATGAAATTCAGACAAGCACCCAGCGTCTGTGAAAGAGCAGTTATTCCCAACGCCCAGTCTGCGTGTCATTTGGTGTCAAGCTGCACAAAAAGAATAAGCAACTTTCATTATTTCCTGCAGGTTTATTTTTTCCATCTCTGGTGTTTAATTTTTAATAAATTTCCAAATTTACAGGGCTAGTGGTTAGGGCACAGTGTTTGGAATCCTGAGGCTCTGAGTTCGAGCCCCACTCCCACAGACTGCCACTCTGGCTCTCTGAGCAAACCCTTAACCCCACTCTGCTCCCCGGGCGCCGCATAATGGCAGCCCATTGCATTTAACCAAAGGGAGGGGTTAAATTCAGAGAGAAGGGGGGTTACAGAGGAGGTATGAGAGAGGGGGAGAGACATGTCGCAAAGGAGCACGGGACAGATTGGAACCCAGGTCGGCCGTGTTGAGGACTAAGGCCTTCATACATGGATTGTGTGCACTAAACACTGCGCCATCGAAGCACACCCATTTGGCGGGCTATTGATATACCTCGTCGAGAGCATCGTAGATCAAGTGATCCCTCCCGATGTAAACTCCCGCCTTCTTGTTGCAGCAAAACAAGTTCCCTGCTTCCACTGAATCAATGCTATTGGGAGTAGTTAGCAGGTTGTTTTCAGACACTTTGTTTTTCTCCGTGCCTTATTTCAAAAGCATGTTTAACGTTACCATAGCAACCAGAGGGTATTAATGCTTGAGACCGGTCCGTGAAAATATTGTCTGACATTAAACCGGTGCAAAACAGGTTGGAGACCACTGCTACAAAAGACCGTGATTATTTAACAATAAAAAAAAAAGAGGCAGCGATGACATCAAAGCTGAAGGTGAAAGGCCACAGCTGACCGAAGATATGAGAAAAGTCAGTCTAACATTTGCTACATTCACACCTTTTGGTTTTCCATAAATGGGTTTGGTTTATGGGTTCACATATTGTGAAATAATTAAATAAAGTGGAACTTTTTGGCATCACAAGAAAAAGAACATCATCCAGACTGTGTGTTAATGGGACTGTCTGGGACTTATTTGCTGCTTCAGGACCTGAACAACTTACTTAGAATCGTCAGTTCTGCTCTATAGCAGAAATATTGGATGGCTATTTTTGCAGCCAACTGTGGGATGGCCAGTGAATCGCAATAGGATTTAATTACTTTTTCACATAGGGTTGGTTTGGAGGGTTTGGTTTTTATTTGGTTTTTTTATTTGTTTTTTTTTTCCAATTTAACTGTTTATAATTCAAAATCATCAAATAAGTAGAAAGAAAAGGAATCTACATATGTGCAAAACATTTCCATGAGCAGAATCAAAAGTATATATAAATATATGTTTGTTTGTGTGCATATTTTTCTTATTCTGTTGTTTCCATTTGTTGCTTTGCCATGCTTTGGTGGTTATTATGGACTTGTAAAGCTCATGTACTTTGATATAAAACCCTACAGTAGAGAAGCCTATTCTGTATTACCTGGGTAGTCTGCCTAGTCTTGCATTCAAATGCATATCGTTCCATTGTTCCCTGTGCAGGTCTCCTGAATACATTTCTAATGGAACAAGTTTCATTTGACAAGTGTGGCAGACAACATCTTCCGTATTTTCATTAAAATGACAAGAGAAGCTTTCATTCCCATCCCTTGCTCTTCAGTCAAGGGTTTCTGATCTGTTGCCGTGAAATTTCCCTGCACGGTGAGCCCACTTTCTTGTTGCTAAGTGCAGACAAAGAGATGTGGTCCAATTCTCTCAAACTTTGTCTTTCTCCATCACACTATCCATTCATCTACCTTCAGTGCCAATTCAATTAAGACTCAATTGCAGACTCCAAAACAAAGCTGCCGCCAACGCACCCATCCTTCTTGATTCATCATACCCTCCACTTTTCTCTTTCCCACTCACCGATCATTGGTGTCAAAAGAGCATGCAAAACTTTTGTTTTGTTTATCTCTAACTTGCAACCATTCAACTTGCCATGAATAAAAATCAACATGTCACAATCTCTGGGGGAAGGTGGCGGTACTTGTTTGCTCCGAGAGCCACATCCAACCGGAAACTGGAAAAGACACACAAACACATGCCGTGAACAGACTAGCGTTTATGCATTCCCAAATGACGGCGACCAATTTAATTTCATGCTCTAAACATCTGCATCCGTGTCAGACAAAGGAGCGAGATCCGACGGGTCTGGGACCAGCTGCCAACAGGGCATGGCGCTGATGAATATTAATTAGAGGTGTTTTAATATGCATGGTATTTTTCAGAGCTGCCAAGACGTGACAGGGTGGCTCTGTTTTTAGGTCAGGATGTCACCAAACTCCAGCCAGTTCTGTCTCGACACAGCCCACTAAAGTTTGATTTTGTTTGTGAGAGCCAGTTTGATTGAATCTGTGTACTCAGGTTGTGTGTTTGTGCCTTTTTGTGTCTCCGGAGATGAAGTCTGATTTAGGATTAGCGAGGGGAGCGTGTGGAGGTGGCATGGCACTCAATGGGATGGCAAGTGAGATGTGGGCAGGAAGAGGTGACGAATTCTAATGTAGCCAAATCTGCCTGAAATCCCCCTTGAGGGCCACAGCTCTGTCTGCAACACCTGTCCATACACCTAAGCAGACATGACACACAGCAGTGCATAATAACAGCCCTGCATTACAGAGCAAAGGCGTATGGATGCTGCATCATATACACACTGTTTGTGATTTTAAATATGGCAAAACCCACCTCGACGGAATGTGAGATGCAACACCACAAGCTAAAACCCACTCCCACACACAGTGACACCCATCGAGCCCCCTGTGGTGTCTAACCATGCACTCCCCAGCCCACAGCTAATCAAGTCAGGCAGTGACTTAGTGAAATTGCATTAGCAACACTTTCCTAGGTTTGATGAGAAACAGTCTGATCCTGTGATGAATTTCAGCGCTCCCCGGTTTTAGACGAGCAACGGATGAACTTGTGATTCCTTCTTTAACAGACTTCTACGTCCCCTGAGAACACAAGCGTGTCTGTGTACATTTAGAAGTCTGTGGAAAAGGACGAGATAAGTAAAGCCACCGTGGTGGGCAGAGGACGGGTTTTGATCCCTACACTTCAAACGTGTTTGCAATGCAAATTTAGGTGAAAACAGCTCATAACAATATTCAGATTCATGTTCACCTATGCAAGTACATATAGTATTAGCCTGCCTTGCAAATAGCTCTACCCATTGAACTTTTTCTGCATACCCTATTATACAACTTCTATATATTTGATTTGAACTTCCACACAGGTACTTTTTTCCCTATAGTATAACAAAAATCAAAAGAATTTGGCTTCCACAAATACTTAGTATTTTCTTAAAGGATGGAGCTGCAACCACCATGTAATAATGCGAAGAAGGTACCGTACTGACCCGAATATAGGACGACCCTGATTATAAGAAGACCCCTCTTTCCAGCACCAGTTATTAGGAACAAAACAAAAAGACCAAAAAGAAAATAAAAGACTAATAAACCAAATTTACTTTGTTTGAAGAAACTATTTTATATTGAGGTGGAAAGAATTTCAATTAAATAATATTGAATTTAAAATTGTGTGCAATGAAACAAAAAGTAAAAAAACAAAGTGACGCATTAAACTGAAATCTTTTAACACTTCAACTCGAATGCAAACTGAACTTTGCCCACAGAACGTCTCAATAACCTGCATGAGGCTTTAACTCAAAAGTCCTCTGCCTCGCTGTCACTCCTACCCTCACCCTGCATCCCTGCAATT